GAGCTGCTCCTCTCGGGGAGCTGAGGCAGGAACCCACCACCACCACCCCTGGAGCCCACAGGAGCTCGGCTCTGACCCCGTTATTCCAACGCCACCAAGGTGCCCAGTGGCTGTGAATCGGGGTGAGTTGCTGGGGCTCTGCCCGTGCCCCCAGCTCAGCACCACTCAGCAGGTTCTGTGTGGAAGATTCTCGGGGAGGGAGAACGCTCGCGGCGGCACCGGCACGGGAAAGGCTTTCCCAAAAACAAAGCAAACAGCTCTCCCTCGTCCCAGGGAGCGCTGAGCCACAGCCCCGAGGGCTGAGCTGCTGCCCTCACCCTGCCCAGCACAGGCTGCTGCTCCCTTGGCACCCTGGCAGGGAACAGCTGCTGGCACGGGCACCCCGAGCTCCCGCCTGGCACGCGAGCTCCGGCCACCACGGGGCACAAAGGGACAAAAGCTGCCCCAGCCACAGCTGTGGGACTGACAGGAAGCCCTTACACGTTCTGTGGAGCAGGCAGCTCCTCGGGGTCCACCAGGCTATCCAGGGCTCCCTCCTCCGTCTCCGCCCCGCCGGGATTTTCCAACCCCGAACGCTCCCCGGGGGCCTCACAAGCACTGAGATCCCTCTCGCTTGGCAGCACAAAAGAGGGCACAGAAGATCAGATTAGCTGGGGTCAGAGTCAAGCGGCTGCTGCAGCTGGACAAGGATGTGCAGGTGACACAGGTGGGCACCAAGCCATGCCTGCCAACAGGACCTGCCTGGCCAACACGGGGCTGCCAGCGCCACAGGGAAGCTCCACACCATCCCCAGCACCTCGTGTGGGACTAACAGGCAGCTGGGGATCTCATGGACATCAGCCTCGGGGTGCTAGATCCCTTCCCTGGGTTATCCCACTCTCTGCAGGCCCTTGGAGAACGTCCCCAAGGTGCGCCAGCCCTGTCAGCCATACTCACACTGCTGTCCAAATTACAGGTGGAAGTGTTGGCAGGCATGCTTGTATCTACAGTCCTACTTCATCTCAGAAGCACAGAGAGGAGAGACAAGGCAAGCACGAGCAGCTTCACAGGCAGACAGAAAGAGAGGATGCTCAGCTGGGAAGCAGGAGCCAAGTGATAAGGAGACAATTCCTGCGGGCAGAACACGTTTTTGGAGACCCTCACACAAACAGCTCCTCCAAGAGCAAGGCTGCAAATCCCACAAAGCCAGTCATTAAGATGGACTGCAGCTTCTGCTCACGAATTTTCCTGGCATGGGCAGCAGCTCCTTGGTTCCCAGTGCCCTGGAGAACGTGTAACTCTGCGTGGAGGCCAAGAGCTCTGACACGACTCATCTGTAAATGCCAGCCTGGGGCTCTCCGAGGAGGAGGAGCTCGAGGGAGCACAGAGCTCACTGCTCAGAACAGCATCCCAACTGTTCCAAACAAATCCCCACAGAGAGGCTGAAAACAGCTCCCCTGGACAGCCCAGTCCCTGTGGTAACTGGGCTCTGGAAGGCAGCGTTCCCCCTGGGATAACAGCTGGTGGTCTGTCCATGTACCAGGACAGAACACAGCTTAATGCTCACACCCGAGCAGGGCCACCTCTGTGGAAGGAAGAGAACTGATCCCATCACAGCTGCACTCACCTGGCATCAGGAACAGAGCCTGCGAGGCTTTAGCCACAGGCTCAGCCCAGCAGGACCACCAAGGCTGTCACCAGGCAATGGCCAGTGGCCACATCTGCCCTGTTTAACAGCCCAGGGCAAGCACACAGCATGACCAGGCTCAGGCCATCCTGGCAAGAGCAGCAGGAGCTGCGAGGGAGGCAGGCAGCAGAGCCACAGCTGGGGCAGCCCCAGGGACAGGACAGGCTGGCACTTGCACTGCCCACCCAGCCAGAAGCTGAAGCTGCAGACAGGGCGAGGGAGCAGCAGGAGAAGCCAGAGGTTCAGTGGGAAAGGCCCTGAGAGAGGCTGCAGCAGCCGGGGGAGCTGCACAGGGCACACCTGGGCAGCTGCAGGGAGCACAGCAGGGAGGGCAAGGCAGGAGAGGCAGCAGGAGCTGGAGCTGCCCACGCCTCCCTCGTGCCTCTGTTTGTACCGTACCTCTCAGCAGCTTCTGTTCTTTTCCTTGGCTCTTCCTCCACGCTGGCTTTGCTTTGCTCTTTTTCCTCTGCTCCCAGCTCCAGGGCCTGCAGGTAAAAGCAAACAGGGGGGAGTTGGTGGCTCCCTCACCATCAAAGACCTCAAAGGAGTTCTGCTGAAGGTCCATGGAATCAACTGGGCCACATGGCACCCATAGGCTGCTCCAGAATGTTGGATGTGCCAGGCCACTCTCCTGAGGGTATCCAAGGGTCTCCAACCATCCCAGAAGCATGAGGGGAGGCCTGGGAGCTCAGCTTTCTCAGGATAAAAGATGAACTCCCTGCCAGCACTAAGAACTTGGGACACAGGTTTGACTTTCTTCCCTGAAAGTCATTTTACAATCCCAAGTCCCACTGAACTCCCTGGAAAGCACAGGAGAGACATCTCCCGAGAGAGAAATGGCACACACACCAAGTACTGTGGCAATGAAGCAAAGGATGCATTGTCTGGCACCAAAATCCACACCAGGACTCCCATCCAGGTTCTAGGGCAGGGTGTGATGGGCTGCACAGAGCCACCAGCCCAGGGATTTCTGACTCCAGGCTACATCATCAATCCAGCCCCCTTGGCAGCACACCGAGCATTCAGCTGGCTCATTTATGGCATAGCAAATACCAGAAATATGAACAGAAAATATCTGAATGTGAAACAGTCAGGTGCTCCTTGCCCCTCCTGCCACCTCCCAGATCCCTCTGTCCCTGCAGCAGGGACACCTGAGGAGGGGAAGGATTTCCCTCCTCACCTGTCAGCCCCACGGGAAGCAGGGAGGGGCCCATTCATAAGTTTTTGGGGACACCAGCAGGTGAGCTCAGCCCGTGCCACGCAGGGCTGTGCGTGGAATTAATGCCACAGTAATTAATGCCAACGCTCAGCAGAGCAAATGGCAGAAGGATTCCCTGCAAGTGCTGCCACCTCCCATCCCATCAGCCTGGCAGAGCCCCAGCCCCAGCCCCTCCTGCCCCTGGAACTGAGGACTCCAATCCCCCAGAACCGAGGAGCTCAGCAAACATCTCCTCACTCCCAATGGGCTCTGACACCACAGGGAGCAGGAAGGACCAGACAAACGGGGAAGGAGATCTCCTGGAAAGAGGGTGAGGGCTCTCAGCTGTCTGACAGGGCTCCTGCTGCCCTTGCCCAGCAGGACAGGCCCTCCCGAGGCTGCAGGAACCTCTGGACACGCTGGGAAGGTGAACACAGCCCCCGTCTGCAGGGAACCAGGGCAGACTGTGTGTGGAATGATCAGATCCTTGCCCCTCCTCGGTTTCCTGCCCAGCTGCATCCCTGCAGGACACTTCACATGCTCAAGACACAAGAGCAGCTGTGAACACGGGGGTGACAGATAATGGGCCACCTCCTCCCTCTGCAGAGCCCAGATCCCAGGGGACGGTCTCACATAGCTCAGACCATGCTGCAAGGTGCCAGCACTGAGCACTTGGCACTGCTTTGCCTTTTCCTGAGGGCCGGGCACTGCCCAGGCTCCCCAGGGAATGCTCCCAGCACCGAGGCTGCCAGGGCACAGGGTGGGATTTGGGGGGGTCTGTGCGGGGCCAGGAGTCAGACTTTGATGGTGTTTGTGGGTTTCTTCCAGCTCGGGACGTTCTGTGGTTACACAGTTCTGCATCTGGAAAAGGGGAAAGGGGAAGGGGGAAAGGGGAAAGGGGAAAGGGAAAAAAAGGGAAAAGGGGAAAGGGGAAAGGGGAAAAAAGGGAAAAGGGAAAGAGCAGCCTCCCCTCTCCCAGGTCCAGCAGAACACATCCCACACAGCCTCTGCAGCCACCACAGCTCCTGCCAAAACACACCAACAAAACCCCTCCAATTCTGTGCTCACAGAGCTGCCAGGGGTGTCTTTTATTTTGTTTTTGTTTGGTTTTTTTTTTTTTTTTTGAACAACAGAATATTTTGCCAATGCATTCAAAGCGAGGCAAGCTCCTCACACGGAAGCAGAACATTCCTACAACCCCGAGCCGCTCCAGCCCAGCCTCTGTGCACAGACACAAAAGAGCAGCTGCAGTTCTGCAGGGAGCACCATTTCACACCCACCTCTCCCCAAACAGGGCTGTAATAAACCCAACCGTGGCTGCTCCAAGCAGCATTTGCATGCACCGTGCCTGCGCTGCGGGGAGGGAGAGGGGGAGCACAGCAGGCATATGTTTTGTTTTCCCTTCACATCTGATTATGCTCATTATTAGGCACAAGAGGACAGGTGTATTCTCCAGACACAGCCTTGCAGACAGGATTGCTCCTCTCTGCTGGACAGGTGGGGAGTTTGCCACTCAGGTCTCTCCTCCAGAGCTGCTGATGCGCTCACGATCAGGGCAAGGCTGAGTAACCCCAGCTGGATCCTGGACCCTGCCTCCAACCACGGAGATGGAGTGGGAGGGCTCCAGAGGAACGTGGGGCTGGGCAAACCAACTCAGAGCCATGCTGAGAAGACAAGGATAAAGCAGAGATGCACAGCAATCTCCAGGCAGAGCTGCCTGACCAGTGCTGCGTGCCAGGCTGACACAGACATGTGCACACCACGCACACTCCATGTGCCACAGACTCACCAAAAGGAGCCCCTTTCCCCCTACATTAAGGAGACCACATGCTTAAAAATAAGCTTCCCTCTACCAAAATCTGTCAGAGGGAGTTAACCTCCTTTTCTTCCCATTGATTCTATCGTGTTCTGCCACACAAATCCTTCCCATCTGCTTAAGAGAAAGAAAAGGACAAATACACTCACAAAAGAAGAAAGGAAAACAGACTCTGCTTCCTCCATTCCCCAGGAAAGCCATTTATCGGGGCAGGGAGAGCACCCAGGGGAGCCTGCCTGTGTACACCCCTGCAGCCACCTCTGCTCAGGGTTTATGTTCCTTGTGCAGCCACCTGCACCTCCTCTCTGCAGAAAAAACAATGCACTGGTGGCGCTGCCGTGACCCCTGACACCTCACACACCAACCTGCTCACCCCTTGCTGACAGCAGCACACCTCAGGATTGCAGCTGCCTGCTCAGAGCTGCCCTGACCCCCACACAGCACTGACCTGGCACTGGGGACTGTCCAGAGCAGGAGACACAGTCCCCATGCCCAGAAGCTCCTCGGAGAGCTGGCTCTTCAAGCCCAAGCCCTAAAAGAGAAAGCAGGAAGGATCAGTCTCTGCTGAGCAGCCAGAGATGCTAAGAGCAATACCCCAGCACAGCTCGGAGCCCCCTCAGCACCCCGCTGCCAGCAGCTCAGCAGCACTCACCCTCCCTGTGGCACCAAGGGACACCAGTGCCACCCAGGGCGGGCACTGTCACACTCCCAGGCCACCAGCCTTAGCAGGCAAGGGTGGCACAAGGAACACCAAAGGGGGCACATCTCCCCAGCCTCAACTGCTCCTCTTTGTGCTGCTGCTGCACATTTCCAGGGATTCCTGTCCTCACAGCCAGCCCCCCACGAGTCATTCACCCCTCAAGTTAAGCCCTGCTCCTGCAGCCCTGCACACACGAGGCAGAGCCCCTGGGCACAGGTTTGTACAGAGCAGGAAATAATGACATTCTCAGCCATTTGCTGGCCACGCTGCCTCTGCTCCCACTGGCAGATGGCAATGGCAGCTTCCTGTGGAGATGAAGAGATGCTGATGGGCATCTCTCCCCAGCCCAGGGCTGCTCTGCTGCAGGGACCCTCCAGAGTGGGGTCTCCATCCACACACCCCCCCCCCAGCAAAAGCTGCTGAGCCCCTAAAGCACAGCTCTTACATTGCTTATTATTTTCCCTTTTGCAATTAGCCAAGCACGCTCTCAGCTCTGCGTGACCTACTTTTCCAGGGATATTGCCTCACCCACAGCCCAGCCTGCGAGGTGCAGGGTGGCACTGCTGGCCTGTGCCACACACAGCTGGGAGAGGTGGGCACTGCACCATCCCAGCTGGAGCCCACAGCCAGGGAAAAAGGAGCTTTTGGTGACTCACCACAGGCTGAACCACCTCATGGTCGGAGCACTTGGAGACAGGCAGGTCCTGCTCACAGCCACTGCCCCCGGATGCCTTTGAAAGCTGAGAGGAAAAACACATTACAGCCTGCACACATCCTGCCCCTGCAGCTTCACCTGGGCACTGCCAGCTCGGCAATGCTGCTGGCAGCACAAGTCTGGCCTCTCCCAGAGAAGAAAAGGTGACTGAATGCCATGGGGAAACCACCAAGGATGTGTAACCCACGGGACAAGCACAAAACACCAGAAGGGCAGGAGGTGGGGCTGGGGAGGTCAAAGTGCTCTGCAAACATCCCTGATACAAGGCACTTGCTTCCTCTCCATCTTCACGGATCTCTGCAGCTCTCAGAGCTCCCAGCCCACCACACAGCACAGCACCGGAGCCACAAAAGCACTTTAAAATTCAGCTTTGCTGTGCCTAAGTGCAGCGAGGGCTCCTCTCTCCCAGCTGCAGGGGACTGCTCGGTGGGAACGCTGCCTTCAGCAGCACAGCTCAGGTGGGAGCACACCAAGCACACGGGTGGCTTTGGGAAAGCAGCACCCGCAGCCCTTCAGCACACAGCGCGTTTCCCAGGTTTTGTAGTTTGTCATTTCTTACAGACATCACGCATCAGCAAACTTGAGAAATGATCGAAACCAGCAGGAAGCAGCCAGAGCAGAGAGAGATCGTCCATCAGACCCCGAGCTCCGCTGGGATCCTGCTCTGGAGTGTGGACACGAGTGGGCAGCGCGTGTCTGGCAGCCCGGCCGTGAGGCCAGGCAGCGTGGGACAGAGCCCAGCCCCTGCCCCTGCAGCCTGGCCACCCTCCTCCAGGCTGGGAGGCTGGAAGGCTCTGTGCTCCAGCTCCAGCTCCAGCCCCAGGCTCACTCCTGCCCCGCTCCGAGCTTGCCAAGGCGGCTCTGGGCAAGCTGAGAGAAACAACAGAAGGAGAGAACAAAGCAGCACGGACAGCTGGGCTCGGCGTGAGCTGCATTACCAACCCTGCTCACCAACACAGACAGCAGCACCCGGAGCTGGGACTGCTCCTCCTCCCAGACCCAGTCCAGGCTTTGCCGAGCGGCTTTGGGCAGCACTCGGGGTGTGCAAGAGGGAATGACTGCCCAGCTCAGTCCTGAAGATGCCCATCTGGGAATTCAGAGCACTCATGCCCCCCAGGAATGACTGCCCTGCTGACCAGGAAAGCATTTGGACTGGCTTGACAGAAAAACCAGGGAATGCTCCAAGAGCTTTCCTGAGCCAGGGCCTGACGAGACGGTGGGAACAGCCAACACCAAAACCACAAAGGCAGGTCTCTTACTTTGCCGTCGTCCAGCCCATCCTCTGATATTGAATCAGCTGCTGCTTCTTCCCTCTCTTCATCCAGCCCCTTTTCTCCACAGGACAGGGAGTCAGCAGTGGCAGCCAGGCTGGGCAGCTGATCCGCCCCAGCCCCGTGCGTGGCCGGCCCTGCTGTGCTCCTCTCCCCCTCCTCAGCTCCAGAGGCGTCTCCTTCCACCTCAGCATCTTCTCTGGGCACTGCTCCATCCCCAGCAGGCTCCTGCTCCTCGTTCAGGCTGCTGGCAGCGTCCCTGGAGAGGAGCTGAACCGGAGACGGGGGGCACGCGGCACCAGAGTCCAAGGAAGACTCTGCCACTTCTTCAGGATGTCTCGATTTTAGAGATTCCTTCTAGGCAGCAAGTCAAACACAATTACAGACCCAATATTCTCTCTGGGGGATGCAGGAGTCAGGAACAGCACAGGCTCTCCTACAGCAAGCAGCAAAATCACAAATCTTTGGGTGACTTCAAGACCTGTTTGACTTCTTCTCACACAGTCCCGTCCCAAGGCCAGGGACTCCACTGACATTATCTCCTTCATTTCTTGGGCTTTGATTTTTTTGGATCTGTTGCTTTTTCTGTTCACAGGGTCTCAGTGGATCAGAGTGGCTGTGCAAGGCCACCAGCCCCTGCAGGCCACGTGCCCCACTGTGGGCCCACCTATGCTTCCACATTGGATCTGTTTGGCAAGAGATGGACATTTGCAGGAGACCATGAGAGGACATTTCACTTCTGCCTGACGTTTCAAGCAGAGGAGAGCAGGCAGGATCACCATCCCACCCTCCAGAGGGACAGACTGGAGGGTGGGCACTGACTGAAGGCACCACTCAGAGCTCAGGAAGAGCCCGTGACTGCTGAGAGATGGGGGAACAAACAACCCCGAATTAAAGCTTAGTCACCCAAAGGTTCCACTGCCTCTCCCCGCAGTGGGGAGGCCACAGCACTGCCCATGGAGAGGGGAAGAGCCAGGAGAAGGTTCCTCATCAGCATGCAAACAGAGCTGCTCGCACGTCCCACTTCCTCACTGTTTTATTAATGCCACGGTGTCTTGTCAAACATTCCCTGCATCCTGTGCACGGCGTGTTCTGTACACTGAGCGCATATTTTAGCGGTGTATTTTTATCAGAGTGCCTCTGGAATGCTGTCAGCTCCCAGGCCGGGGCTGCAGCGCTCCGGGAGCACGTTCCGAGTGTGTCACTGCTCTGCCACAGCTCCCCAGGGAGGGACAGGACAGAGGAGTCCCACTCCAGGCACTTCCCAAAAATCCTGCAATGCCCTGGTACTGACAGCTCACAGGTCCTGCCCAGCAGAGGCTCCCAGAGTCACCAAAAAGCCACACGAGGCTCCTGGGGGCACCAGGACCCAGAGCAAGGTGGGCACAGGGAAGTTCTTCAGCCACCCTCGTGCTTCCCCTTTTATGGGACTAGGGTGGCTGCAAATGCTCCTTTTGGACAACTTGCTTCAGAGTTCTCCTGAGGACATCCCACCAGGAGACCTGGCAGTGTCCAGGAAATCCCAGATGAGGCCAAGCAGGGTTCTGATGCTTGAACACAGGATCACACACACTCCAAAATGTGTCAGTACCCAGCAGTGGTGTGCACACAAAAGGATTTCTCTCCAGGCAAGTTCACCTCAGCTACTAAAATACCCCAGAATAATCTCCTTGGCTGGCAGAATCCTATTTTTAAGGCAATAACAGGCAAACCCTTCGTTAGCCTCACACCTTGATGGTCACAAATGAACTCTGTAGAAGAGGGACCCGTGCCAGTCAGACACACAGGAGGAGGAGGAGGAGGAGGAGGAGGAGGAAGGTTTTTCCTCCTGCAACAACAGGCTGGAGATTTTCCATGGATTTCAGAGCTGCACAAGTCACTTGGGCTATAACTGGCTTTGGGTGATCCTTTCACGAGCTGTGGCATTCTACCCACCCTGAGTGGCACGAACTGATTGGGAAATTCCTGCCTACCAAATCACTGCTTCCAGGGGTCAGCATTAAACTTCAGCCAACAGCAGAAAGGAGCCAAGCACTGCAGACACACAGCACAGCACCAGGAGCTGCCTACTGCATGCAAAGCCTGGGTGGCACCATGCAAGCAGGACAGGGATGACAGGGAGCCACTGTCACCTCTCCCAGGCTGGCAGCTTCCTCCTCAGGGCTCCCGTGGGGCTGGGGAGCAGCACCAGCAGCTTCAGCAGCACCAGCTGATGGGCTGCCACGGTCCTCCTGCTCCTCCTTGCTGTTCTCCTAGTTGGGGGGACACAGCCACTTGCAGAATTCCCCACAGCACCTTCCCGAGCTGGAGGACTCGTCCAACATTAGCACCCACCACGGGCAGCCCCAGAGCAGAAAGCTCTCCAGCTGCACAGCTTTCCTGGGAACTCACGGGCCCAGATTCCCAAACATCAAGCTGGGGGATGCTTCACTGCTGCTTTTCCTGCTGGCCAGCTCCAGGAACTCACAGTCCTGCAGACTCTGCCCAGCTCCGGGCTCCCTGCAAACCGTGTCTGATGCTGCCTCCACCCCACCCAACACCCTGGCTCAGAAAGTCACTAAAACCTCCTATTTCCTTCAAATACAGACATCCAGCCCTGACCAGGGGCTACATGAAGCCAGTTTTTTCATGACTTCACCCATTACTGCTTAGCTTTCCCCTTAGGACTCGCTACACAAACCCTTGTCTGCTCGGGAGCAGGCTGAGGCTCACTCCCAGCAATGCTTTTCTACTGCCATCTCATGGAACGACAAAAGAATTCTCTTTTCCAGTCGGGGCACTGCTGTCTTATCAGGCCTAGGCTGTCTGTCTCCCATCTGGGTTCACAGCCTGGCTGTTGGGCAGCAATCGCCATTCCACAATAGATTCCCAAAGCCCCATCCCAGGGCACTGAAATGCCAAGACAGCTCTTTGTTCCTGCACACATTAACATTTCAGTGAGGAATCGGCCCCCACGGCTGCTGGTTGTCTGGAGATGAGAGTCAGGGCTCTCTTTGTCACATCCACTTTAGCATAAGCCTTTGCAGATCCTGCCCAGCACCGTGAATAGGTTCTCCAGCAAAGTACTTTACAGCTTAATTTTCCTGTGCTGTGAAAAGGATAAGGAAAATACTCTAAAACACTTTAAAAGAAATTAATTTGCCTTTCAGATACTGGAACAGGATTTTCAAAGCGGTGAGAAAGGATTAATGTCAGCACAAACAGTCGGGCCAAATCACCAGAGCTGCTTACAACGCACTTCCCATTGTGCCCTTGTCATCTTAAGCCTGATCCCAGCTAAGGAAGCTCAGGGAAAGCACAGCCCCTGCACAAGGCCTTGGGTGCACTGCAGGCTCTGTCTCAGCCACAGCATTCACCAGCAGGGAGAAGAAAGAAAAGCAGGTTTTGTGTTGCCACGTGCAGCCCACATGAGGATCCCTGAGGACAGCACCCAACATCCCCACAGGACGTTTCCCTCTCCCCTCCCCAGTGCCAGCCCGGCAGCTTCAGCTGGCAAGGAGCCTTCCTCCCCACCCCCTGACAAACAGAGAGCAGAATGGGAGTGCCTCTTCCTCACTGAGCCTTCCCCCACACCAAATGCAGTGGCACCTCTGATCTGAGACCCTTTTCCTGCTGCTCCCTGGAAAAACAGATTTCCCCCTTGCCCTCTCCACCTACCTGTCTTTATTTTCCTGTCTGAGGATGAAGCAGAGCTCCAGCCTGTGCAAAGACGTCTTCTCAAGTACCAGCTACCAAACCACAACCACTCCAAGCACAAACTTCCCTTCAGCTCCCACCCCACTGTCCCCTGTGGGCCAGCCCTGGCTTCTCACAGCCCCCCAGCCCTGCTGCTGTGCCTTCCTCTGCATCACCTGCTCCTGTGTGACAAAGGAAACTCGTCCCTCTGGCACTATTGCTGTACTCTCACTCCCTGGCAGTGCCACCTCGGCAGCCTCCCCTGCCCTGCCCATCCCCGTGGTCTTACCTCAAAGTCAAAGCTGCCTGCCAGGGCTTCAACATCCAGGTACACATTTTTTAACAGCCTAGAGGTCCCATGGAAACTCTGAAGGTTTAAAAACAAAAAAAGAAAAATGGCCAAAACTGAGTTCTGACCTGAGCAATGCCACAGGAGGGGCTCCTCAGCAGTGAAATTAGGCAGCAGAGTCATGGCAATGCACCCACAGCCAGTTCATCTTGGAGTGACACCATGGCAGATGCTCTCTCACAGGGATTACCATGTGAAAACAGGACCAGATGATTTTGGGGAACAAGCAGCACAAAGAAAAGAGAGCACAAATTAAAGCCCAGGGGCAAATGGAACAGCATTACCAGGGGAGCACCAGGAGGTTTCAGCACTCTGCTTACAGCAACAGCCAGGGCACACCAATACCTCATTTTCACTTTCTTCCTCTTCATTTCTCCACTTCTCTGGCACTGCCACGCTCAAGGAACTTTTCTCCTCAGAGATCAAATCCAGCAGGTTCTGGGTGCGGCCGCTGGGCTTTGGGAGCTCTGCAGGCTGCGAGGGAAGCGAGAGCTCAGCCAGCAGGACAGGGGACAGAGACCCACCGAGACTCTGAGCTGCTGGCAGGGAGGCCAGTTTCCCACCACTTAACTTATTTGTTTATTTTTAAAACGTTTATGTCTATGTTTTGCACATATTTTGCTTTGCCTTCCTTTAAAGGGTCAATTTCTTACCATTTAACAAGTGCTATTGACTCCCCAGGTCATTTTCTAGTAATAAATAAACAAAGCATTCAACATGGTTATAAACCTTACACTCATTGGGACAATAGGGGGTTTTTTTATTTTTATTCTCAAATAGAAGAGTGTAAATAATTTATTAAATTGTATTATGTGCATTGCTTGTCATGCTTCATTTGGACAACAAATTCTACTGAAATTTAGCACACTTTTTTTTCCTTTTTTTCCTATTTTGTTCCAATAGCTATTGAAACAATTCTTTCAATCTGCCAAACATAGCAGAAAAGAGCTCACCACTAATTAAGCACTAGAAATAGAAGAAAAGAAATACAGCTTTTTAACATACAGCAGCATTTCAGAACTGACAGCAGATCACAAATCGTGTCAGTGAAGTGACCCTGAGCAGTGTGCCTCCAGGGGAGGGGGAGTCTCACCAGCGTTCCTTCCCTGGGGATGAGGCCGGAGTCCAGCACATTCCCCAGCTCCAGGCTCAGGGAGCCACGAGGGGCGATGGACGACGGGGTGAGGCCCCGGAGAGGAGACAGGGTGCCCAGGGCAGGCTGGATGGGCGCCAGCTGGGAGCCTGGGGGCTGCAGAAGCACAGGGGAGTCACTGGCAGGACAGCACAGGCGTGCAGCTCCCTCTCCTGACCTTGCAATGGGACAAGGAGCTCCCCTGGGCAATCAGGGGCTGCAGGACCAGCCCTGCTCACACCCCACAGCCAGCAGGCACCAGCAACGGGACAGGGCTGGATCCACTCACACACTTGGCTTCCCAAATGCCCACCCGAGCGGGTCCTGAACACTCCTCTCCCTCCCCAGACACACCACGAGTGTGTGTTTAGTACAGAGCATCTTACAGCCAAAATTAAAGGTGGTTCTGCACTCAGTGCTCCCAGCCCAGCTGATTCACTGCCCATCACCCGGGGCTGGGGTCACAAGGCACTTGGTGTCCCTGGAGCCACTTGTCATCCTCTGCCCAGCCCTCCCCAGAGCTCTGCAGGCAGAGCCTACTCACAGGGAGTTGCCTCAGGAGCTGCTTCTCCTTCTTGTCCTTCTTCTTCTCTTTCTTCTCCTTCTTCTCCTTCTTGTCCTTCTTCTTCTCTTTTTTCTCCTTCTTCTCCTTCTTCAAGCTGCCCCGTGCCAGCAGCTTCTCCCTCTCCTGGATGACCAGCTGCTTGTAGTGCTCATCACAGGGGTGCTCCCACGAGGAGAGGCCACTCTCAAAGTTGAAGAAATAGATGTCACCACCCGCGATATCTTGGCTGCATGGCAAAAATAGCAGGGAAAGGTGAAAGAGCAGGTTAAAAACACAGCCAGAACATCACTGCTGACAGTGCGAGCACCTGAAGCCCAGGGAAGAGGAGCGTGATGTCTCCAGGAGGCCACAATTGTACCAGTGTGGGAAGCAGCTCTCCCAGGATGCTCATATCCAGCTTCCCAAGCAGTTCTTCCCCTTCTTCTGCCTCCCCAAAAAGCCCTGAGCTCCTGATACCCCGCCAAACCCAATTCTCTGCCAGCTGGAAGCCTTGTCCTGTCCCGGGGAATGCCCCAGCCCAGCTGCTGCCAGAGCTCTCACCAGGCCTTCCACTCCGGGGGCATTGGGGTCACCAGGCACTCCCTGGCCAGCCACAGCAGCTCTGACTCCTTGTCGGGGTCAATCCCGATCGTGGGCGCAAAATCCCGGATTTCTGGGGAAACAGAAGAGGAACCTGTGAACTTGGTATAACCAGCAGAGGTTGTTTATTTTTAAAACGTTTATGTCTATGTTTTGCACATATTTTGCTTTGCCTTCCTTTAAAGGGTATATTTCTTACCATTTAACAAGTGCTATTGACTCCCCAGGTCACTTTCTAGTAATAAATAAACCTCCTCAGCTAAAGCTGTGGGCACGCTGGCACATCCTGAGCCCAAAGCCAGCAGCAAAGTCCTGTGTGCCTGCAGAGCCCACCCGGCCAGGCTGGCACAGGGCAGTGCCACCTCAAAGTGCCACCTCAAAGTGACATTCAGCTCTGCCTCTGCTAAAACCCAGTGTGCTCTACCCTCTCCAGCCACTCCACAAACCCATCCCTGTTTTCTGAACACTCCTAGAAGTGACCTGCACGCCTGGATCCCCTCTCCCAGCTCCTGGGAAGCCAGGCCTCACTCACCCTGCTCCTTGGGAACGTAGGATTCATTGTAGTCTTCTTCCAGGATGAGCTGGTCCCCAATGCGCACGGCTCCTGCCATGGATGCCACACCTGGCAGCGGGGAGGAACCAGCACAGAGTCACAGCTGCCCCCAGAAAGCAAATTCCTCACCCCCAGCTCATGGCAGAGCCCTTCTTGCTGCAGCACACACAGCAAAAGCGAATCAAAGAGCCTCCACACACTTCCGAGGGCTGTGAAGACAGAGAGCAGAGCTGAAGTGGAACAAAGTTATAATCAGACCCCCCAGGCCTTCCAGCTCCTACAGGAAAGATGTTTCAGGCACTTCTAAAGCAGGTAAAAAATAAGCTGAAATGAGACAGGGAAGAAAGAGAAAGCAAGCAACTTTCCCAAAGCATAGCTTTGGATTTAACTCCCAGACCACACCACAGCTGGGCCCTGACAACCCATCCAGCAGAGGTTCATGCAGCTGGAATTCACCAGCTCACCCCAAACATCCTCAGCTGTGGCTCGGGGTGGCCACATTTGGCCAGTACAAACACTGGGGGACCACAACTGCTGCTAAACACACAGCTCAATGCCAAGGTCGAACATTTCAGCCTAACCCCTCCAAAATGTCAGTGCAAAAAGCATTCCTCTGCTTCCCTCGTGAGACTCAGGGGGTTGTGGTACCTGCCAGGCCCTGGAGCAGGATCACCACCTGTGACACAGCCATCTTCACCTCCCCGTGTCCTCAGCCCACTCTGGATTTATAACTCTTATGTAAAATTAAGTCTCAGAAGCAGCAACTAATCCTGGCAGTTTCCAGGTGAAGACATTCTCACGAGATCCAAACCACAGCAGCACCACGGAGCTCACACCACTCCCCTTCCCAATCGTCCCCAGTTAGAGCATTTGGGTGTGGGCAACTCGCTCGGGGCCTTCTGTCCCTGTTTTCCTTTCCCAAAACTATCCCAGCCCCATCTCCCACGCCTGGCATTGGCACTGGGGGATGAATTAGGGCTCATCCCTCTCTTGGAGAATCTGCCCTGCCACATCTGGAGAGACCTTAGTGTGACCTTTCAGTGCTTGAGGGGCAGCTGGAATAGATGGGGACTAGGGAGAACGGCTTTAAACTAAAAAAGGAGGATTTAGGTGAGATCTGTGGAGGGAATTCCTTCCTGTGAGGGTGGTGAGACCCTGGCACAGGGTGCCCGGACAAGCTGTGGCAGCCCCACCCCTGGAAGTGTTCAAGGCCAAGTTGGGGCAAGCTGGGCTAGTGGAAAGCCCATGCCCATGGCATAGGGGCGAACCTGGATGATTTCCAGGCCCGTTCCAACCCAAAAAACCGTTCTATAGCTCTGTGCAAAGAGAACCGAATCCTCAGCGCAGCCGCCGCCGCGCCAGCCTGGAGCCCCGGAGAAACCGCGGCTGGCAAGGAGCACAAACAGCTCTGCTTGATACGGTATTTTAAAAATAGACAAAAAGAGGAAAAAAGCGCCGTTTCCACCCTTACCACGGCAGCACCCACGCCACACACGCACCGCCAGCAGCCCGCGTGGGGCTCGAGGCCGGAACGGCGGGCGCGGGGCCGCTCAGAGAGGGAACCCTCCCCGACCCCGGTCCCGATCCCCATCCCCATCCTGACCCCGATCCCGGTCCCGATCCCCATCCCCATCCTGACCCCGATCCCGGTCCCGATCCCCATCCCCATCCTGACCCCGATCCCGGTCCCGGTCCCGGTCCCCGTCCCCATCCCCATCCCGGTCCCCATCCCCGTCCCCACCCCGCTCCTGGTCCCGGTCCCCATCCCCATCCCGGTCCCCATCCCCACCGGGTCCCGGTGCCGGTGCCGGTCTCTCCGCTGCGGGCCCTGCCCGCCCCGCTACCCGTCCCGCGGCCGCCGCCGTTGCCGGGAGCGCGGGAGCCGCCGCGGCCGCTGCCCGGGGCCCCGCCCCCTCCCCGCCATTGGCCGGCGGGGCGAAGCTCGCCGCCCGATTGGTCGCCGGGGAGGCGGGATGCATGACGTCACGGCGGNCTCGGGGCCTTCTGTCCCTGTTTTCCTTTCCCAAAACTATCCCAGCCCCATCTCCCACGCCTGGCATTGGCACTGGGGGATGAATTAGGGCTCATCCCTCTCTTGGAGAATCTGCCCTGCCACATCTGGAGAGACCTTAGTGTGACCTTTCAGTGCTTGAGGGGCAGCTGGAATAGATGGGGACTAGGGAGAACGGCTTTAAACTAAAAAAGGAGGATTTAGGTGAGATCTGTGGAGGGAATTCCTTCCTGTGAGGGTGGTGAGACCCTGGCACAGGGTGCCCGGACAAGCTGTGGCAGCCCCACCCCTGGAAGTGTTCAAGGCCAAGTTGGGGCAAGCTGGGCTAGTGGAAAGCCCATGCCCATGGCATAGGGGCGAACCTGGATGATTTCCAGGCCCGTTCCAACCCAAAAAACCGTTCTATAGCTCTGTGCAAAGAGAACCGAATCCTCAGCGCAGCCGCCGCCGCGCCAGCCTGGAGCCCCGGAGAAACCGCGGCTGGCAAGGAGCACAAACAGCTCTGCTTGATACGGTATTTTAAAAATAGACAAAAAGAGGAAAAAAGCGCCGTTTCCACCCTTACCACGGCAGCACCCACGCCACACACGCACCGCCAGCCGCCCGCGTGGGGCTCGAGGCCGGAACGGCGGGCGCGGGGCCGCTCAGAGAGGGAACCCTCCCCGACCCCGGTCCCGATCCCCATCCCCATCCTGACCCCGATCCCGGTCCCGATCCCCATCCCCATCCTGACCCCGATCCCGGTCCCGATCCCCATCCCCATCCTGACCCCGATCCCGGTCCCGGTCCCGGTCCCCGTCCCCATCCCCATCCCGGTCCCCATCCCCGTCCCCACCCCGCTCCTGGTCCCGGTCCCCATCCCCATCCCGGTCCCCATCCCCACCGGGTCCCGGTGCCGGTGCCGGTCTCTCCGCTGCGGGCCCTGCCCGCCCCGCTACCCGTCCCGCGGCCGCCGCCGTTGCCGGGAGCGCGGGAGCCGCCGCGGCCGCTGCCCGGGGCCCCGCCCCCTCCCCGCCATTGGCCGGCGGGGCGAAGCTCGCCGCCCGATTGGTCGCCGGGGAGGCGGGATGCATGACGTCACGGCGGCGGGGCGGCGGGGGTGCGTTGCCATGGCGACGCGTGGGCGCCGCCCGCGGCCTGGCCCGGCCTGGCCCGGCGGGTCCCGGGGGTCCCGGGTCGGGGCAGCGCGACGGGGACGGGCACGGGGACCGGCAACGGGCCGGGGGCAGCGGGCAGGGCCGGGGCGGGTCTCTCGGTGAGCGCTTCCGCCGGCGGGCGGGCTTTCCGGGGCGGGTCCGTGCGCGCCGCCATGCCCGCCGCCGCCGCGCCGCCCGCCCGCCCCGGCGCGGCCGCCCCGCCGAGGCGCGGGGCGCTGCGGGCCCGCTGACCGCGTCCCCCGAGGGCTCCCCGCGGCCATGGCGCCCGCCTGGCCCTGGCTGCTGCTGTGGCTGGGGGCTCTGCGCGCCCTCCCGGCCCCGCCGCGCATCCGCCTGCCGCTGCGGGGCGGCGCGGCCCCGCCGTCGGGGCTCCGGCAGCGCCGGGCGCCGCTGGACGCCGAGCCCGACAGCGCCGGCAGCTTCGTGGAGATGATCGACAACCTGCGCGGCAAGTCCGGGCAGGGGTACTACGTGGAGATGACGGTGGGCAGCCCCCCGCAGAAGGTGAGGTGGGAGGGGATCCCCGCGTCTCTCGCATCCCCCGCATCTCGCTCATCCCCTGCATCCCCCGCACCCCCGGGGGCTGCGGGTGCCACCGTGGCTTCGCGTGGCTCTCGCCGCACGGCCCGGGCAGCATTCCTGCTTCTCATCGCTCCGGTGATGCTTTTCCTGCTGGCTTTCGGCTAAAACTGGCCGCAGGCCCCCGCCGAAGGTGACCCCATCGCTCCCGGGGCTGCCCGGGCTCTCGGGCGGGGTGGCCGGTGCTGCGTGTGCCTCTACGTGCGAGAGAGCCAGGCTGCATCGCTCCATCCCTCCCTCTCTCCATCCCTCCCTCTCTCCATCCCTCCCTCTCTCCATCCCTCTCTCTCCCCATCCCTCCCCGGTTCTCTCCCGCTCCGAGCCGGAGGATGCCGCTGGAGCTGGCGCGGATGTGGGCGGCAGGCGGGTGGGATGTGGCTGCGCAGCCCCGTGCCCGCCTGGAGCGGGCACAAGCAGGCACGGAGGAGCCCACGGCCAAACCGTGCTTGGCACCTCCTGCCAGCGCAGCCCCGGCCGCAGCTGCTGCCTGCCCCTGCCGGGGAAATTCTCCAGAAATCCTCCAGAGCTCGGCTTCCCCGGGGGAAATTCTTCCCGGTTGTCGCCGCGCAGGAGTTGGGGCAGCGTGGGGAGGTGAAGTGCAGGAAAATGGGATGGCCTGGATGGAAAGGGAGCCCACGGAGCCGGCAGAGCAGGCGCTGGTGCGTCACCAAGCTCTGATCCTGCTCCATCTTTTTGTCAGCATCCCTCACACGCTGCCCAGCTCATGTGGCACCGTGGCTGCACGCTGGGAACAGGGCAAATGCTGAGGGCCCGGTGCCAGCCAGCACAGGGCAACCAGCTCCTCCCTGTTCCGTGGATGAGATCGGGGAGGCTCCCACTGCTGAATCCTTTTGTGCCCATCCTGATCCCCGTTGTCACCAGCAACGAGTCTGGCCGGGGGTCCAGCTCGGTGGTCGAGGCTCCAGGTTCCTCCAAGCACAGGGCCACATTCCCTCACGCCTGCCACCTCCACTTTTTGGGTGCTGCCAGAACAGCCAGCACCCACGCAGGCACTGAAATAAAGGCTGGCTTTCCCCCACGAGCTGGCTGTGCTCTGTGTGCGTGGTGGGAGAGAGCGATGGGAGCAAGAAGTGGACGGGGGAATGCAACCACTGCCATGGAAATTGCATCTCTGGGAGCACTATTGTGTTGTCCCTGTGTGCCTGGAATATATTGCCTGGCAGGGTGTGTTTAGGGAAAAAATAAAAGGGAGGAGATTATTTCTAAAATCTGGTTTTAAATGTGATTTCATCATCTCCTGCCTGCCACATGTCGCAGCTGCCAGATAATTTCCGTGCGAACCACCTGTTCCAGGCGCTCGCGCGTTCCGGAGCCAGTCACCCTTTTGGGCAGCATCTCCCAGCTTTGGATTGCTTCCAAATGCAAACGTGGTGCCTCTGTGTGTGTGTGTGTGCGTGTGTATGTGTGTGAGTGTGGAGCAAAATCCCTTCAGGCATTGCAATGGAATGAGAGGATTCGTATGAAAGAGTTTGGCTGTGCCTCTGCAGGAAATTGGGAGTGTGTTTGCCCCAGGGTGGGTTCATCCTTCCCCAAGGCTCACACGCAGCAGGGAGAGGTGATCCATCTCCTCACCTTTCCTTTCACCTTCCCGATGCTGACAAGGAAGTTTCTGTATCCCCTTGTGCTTTAATTTTGGTTCTGAGCCGTGCTGCGCTGCCAAGTCACCGTCAGCAGCTGATTGCTCACACATTCCATGTGTCCAAGCGTGTTGGTTTCCCTGGCTCCCCAGAACGGGCTGATTCATAAACACACAGGGGAGAGGGGTGAGCTGAGCAGCAGGAGCCGGTGTTTTGGGACAGATGGCACAGGCTTGGTGCCCCAGGAGCAGCACACAGCTCTAGGGACACACGTGGCACAGAGCCAGCGCTGCTGCCGAGGTGCCTGGAGGGACTGTCACTTCCAGGGAGAGGTTTCAGGCAGCGTCCCTGCCACACATGTCTTGGCCTCCCCAGTTCACGTGCCATGTCCTGGCCTGAATGGATGGCTGGGCTGAGTCTCAAGGATCTGGGTCCTCTCCACGTGGGGCTTGTGCGTGACCCCTTCAGCAGGATGCAGCCTGCGAGAGTAAAAGCCCTCCCTGCCTCCTCTCCCTGCAGCATCAGCTCAGCAGGTCCTTCTCCAGGGAAACCAGGCTCCTCTGGGTGCCCTGGGATTGCAGATGTGCTGTGTGGAGCAGGTGGCCCCTGATGGCACAGAACCGGGAGCAGCCCTGGGGATGGCGCAGGTGCCAGGTTGCCAGGCTGTGTGGTGCGTGCTGGGCTGGCACCCACCCAGGGTGGGTACTGGGGGGGTGAGCGTGCTGCTCTGGTCTTTACCCACGGCCTGAAATGTTCCCCTGGGCAGGGAGGAGGAGCTGGGGCGCTCAGGACATGTCAGCCCCTGTCAGGGAGAGCTCTCGGCAGCTGCAGGCGGTGCTGCTGCGATTAACACAAGCGCATTAACCTCCTTCCTCTCCCTCTGACTCCACAGATTAGGGGCCAAAGCCCTGCTGCTGCTGCCCGGGCTGGTGCTCTGAAGCAGCTCCTGGGTCTGGGGCCAGGGCTTACCCTGAGCTCTGCTGCCCAGCACAGCCAGGAGACTTGGACAGTCCTGCTCCAACTCCAGCAATCCCACAAGGGCTGTGCACCCCAGCAATCCCACCAGGGCTGTGCACCCCGGCAATCCCACCAGGGCTATGCACCCCAGCAATCCCACCCAGCCATCCCACCCGGCCATCCCGTCCCTCTCCTCGCCAGGGCCACATGCACGGGTCAGCCAAGGGCAGGATCAGGCTGGCAGTCCTGGCCCTGCCAGTGGGATATGTGCCAAGCGTGGTAATCCTGCCCAGGCAGGAATGAATCAGGAGCAGGGCTCAGCATATGGGTGGTGATTAGCAGGCACAGGGACCCACGGGAGCTGCCCACCACGATCCTTCCCACCAAATCTGTGCCAGCAAATCTGCTTTCCTGCCAAGGGGAGCCCGTGCACCCTGCGTTGCTGCTGCTGCTCTCCGGCCTCAAGACACCTGCCAGGTGCTTCCCAAACCCTGCCTGTGGATTTGGGGGCTGAGGCTGGGCCGTGCTGAGCAAGGAGCTCATGCTCTGTTTGCACAGTGCTGGATGCTGTTTGCTCTTTGTGTCACTCCCTGATGTCGCTGCCTCCTTCTCTTCTCTCTGGGCACAACAAAAGAGGGTCCCACTGCACTCACGAGCCTTCCTGTCCTTCTTCCTTCTCCAGCTGAATATCCTGGTGGACACAGGGAGCAGTAACTTCGCTGTGGGAGCTGCACCACACCCTTTCCTCCGGAGATACTACCAGCGGCAGCTGTGAGTATCCTGGGAGGACACAGAGCACAGCCTCTCAGGCACACGGCTTCTCCTGGCTGGAGGTCTGGCCAGACCTGGCCTCTGGAATGGCTGGATGCACAAAACCCCTGCTGGTCTGACTCGTCCCTTTGCCGCCGTTGCAGGTCCAGCACCTACCGCGACCTGCGGAAGGGAGTGTACGTGCCCTACACCCAGGGCAAGTGGGAAGGGGAGCTGGGCACTGACCTTGTCACCATCCCCCACGGCCCAAACGTCACCGTCAGAGCCAACATCGCTGCCATCACGGAGTCAGACAAATTCTTCATCAACGGCTCCAACTGGGAAGGGATCCTGGGACTGGCCTATGCCGAGATTGCCCGGGTGAGCCCTGGCTGGCAGTCCTGCGTGTCAGCACCGAAACGCTTCAGTTGTCTTGTTCCTTGTCCCTGTTTGTCCCCTGGGGCACAGCAGTGCTGGCGAGGGGAACTCCCTGGGCGCAGAGGGCTCCTGGAGAAGGGACAGCACTGACACATCCCTGTCCTGCCTCTGCTTTCTCCTCCCACCAGCCCGACGACAGCCTGGAGCCCTTCTTTGACTCCCTGGTGAAGCAGACGCGGGTGCCCAACATCTTCTCCCTGCAGCTGTGCGGGACAGGCTTCTCTGCCAACGAGACAGAGGCCGTGGCCTCAGTGGGAGGCAGCATGGTGAGCGCTCCACAGGTGCCTGGCTGGGGGCTTGGTGCCTTGGTGGCACTGCCAGCACGTGGTGGCAACGCTGTTCTGTCTCCTCTGCAGATCATCGGCGGCATCGACCGCTCGCTGTACGTGGGTGACATCTGGTACACCCCCATCCGCAAGGAGTGGTACTACGAGGTCATCATCGTCAAG